GTTGTGAATAGGGGAAGCTGTGAATAATAGTAGTGGAGTTTCTTTCTCTGTGGATGTTGGGGATGTTAGATCCCCAAAACTCGCTTGATAAATGCCTTATTTTGGTTTTCACGTTTGTCAGCATGGGCTGATCAGTTGACCCTGAGATTTCAATTCCTACCAGGGAAATCCATGGCTGTGATTGGCTGCGGTGTATTTTAATGTGCTATTTTTGTGACTGTCTCAAGGACGTTTCTATGAAGTATAAATAAACGAGAGTTGTATGCTTGATTATACTGTGATTGCTGGGTGTTTGTAGAATATACTTTCTACGCTTATAAAGCCATTTTACTTCAGCTTGGGATTCAAGGTAGCCTACCTGGACGCTGGTAATTGTCTCGTTCGCGTTTATCGACTAAGGTGATTCGTAATAGCTTCAAGCATACTTAGTGACGAGCGTAACAGTGAATAATAGATTAGCAATCGATTAGAAATAATGAATCACACAACACTAGTTAATCAATAGTTAATCGAAAGATCCTAATAAAAGGAATTTATATAATACATTCAGTCTAGTTCCTGAACAATTATACACTAAGGCCACACACAATAACAATCCTTTATTCAATCTTTGAAGTTACCATTTCTCCAACCATCTTCCTAATATAGAACCTTCCAAAGAAACAAACAGTCAAAAATTGGTAAGCACAGAGAAAACTTATGCAAAGCTCTTTAACCAGTGGTGAAAATGAATATGGAAATAAAAACATTTAATGTTTGGCATAAATGTTCGTTTCAGACAGAAACCAATATTCATAATCATACAAATGATTGTAAATAATTCAAACTACTTATATTTATAAAGTAGTGTAAAGTGTATCATAAAATACAACAAAGGAAAGACTATGAATTCTTTTGCTATAAACTCCCTTTTTGCCTATGTACCTCTAATCAGAACTTTTGATTTTCTTTCTGACTATACATGGAGTGATTTCCTATTTTTACCAATCGCTCAACACAACAAAGAGTACTTCTTTAATATGTACTGAAAAAGTCCACTTCATGTTGGATGGCGAACATTTCCAATAAGTTGGAGTTGCTATGGTTAGTCCTTTTGGACCTTTCTTAACTGATGTTTATATGGTATATGTCGATATTTTTTTGAATTGGCCAATCAGTAAATTAACTCTATAACGGTGATATATGGATGATATTTTGGTTACGTGTGACAAAGAATACAATGTCTTTCAGTGACTGAATAATTTCAATAGTCTTCAGAATGCCATTGTCCTAACCCACGAAGCAGAGAGTAATAACCAATTGCCCTTTTTAGATATACTGTTAATTTGAACGGAAAGCGGAACTATAAACCAGTCAGTTTATAGACAAGGACAGTTTTTAAATCCCAGCAGTTTTTGTCTATCGTAACACAAGCGAGGCTTGATAAAATGCTTCTTCAATAGAGTATAAAGAATTTCCATTAAGGATACATTTGAAGACGATGTGAAATTCTTGACTGAAACAATGATTTCAAATGGTTATCTACTAAAATTTATCAGTAGGTGTAGAAATCAGCTAAAACAAAAGCTTGTCTTCTGTTCTGCCCAAGTTTTCCTTTGAGACAGAAACCAATTTTCATAATTATACAAATGATTGGAAATAATTCAAACTACTGAAAACTATAAAGTAGTGTAAGGTAAAATACAACAAAGGCAAGCGAATAATAACCATGACCAAAGTTAAAACTGAATTATCAGGATAGCCTTAATACAAGAAAATGCTTGTTTCCACGAAAAATTCATCCTGCAAACAAGTGAGTTAAACCAATTCACGACATTCATCATGAACAAGTTAATAACACAAATAGGACAAATTACGAATAAACGAGACAATGAAAGACAACATAGAATACTAAGAGATGGGTTACGGAAAATCAGATAAACCTCTGATAAATTGATTGGCCAGACACTTACAGCAACAGCCTACTGTGGGAAAGAACAAACTAGATTTCAGCGGAGAAAGAAATCAGGAATAAGGTCTGGAAGTGGATAGGACACACATTGAGGAAAGCACCCGGCTGAGTCACAAAACAAGCCGTCATTTGGAATCCTCAAGGACAATGTAAAAAAGGAATGTCGAGTAATCGAGACAGACATGAGAAGAATAATTGGATAGAAGTGGAAAGCGAAGCTTAGGACAGAATAGGTTGGAAAATACTAGTCGGCTTCCTTTGATCGATTGTGGGTAACAGGCTTAAATAATTCAGTTGAAACTGGGATTTTTTATTGACTATTTCTAATCACCAACGTACATCTCCTAATGATGGCTTAGGTTTCATATTTTCTGTTGGGGATGTTAGATCCCCAGAACTCGCTTGATCAATGCCTTATTTTGCATTTCACTTCTGCAAGCATGGGTTGATCAGTTGACATTGAGATGTCAGTTCCCACCAGCAAAATCCATGGCTGTGATTGGCTGCTCTGTATTTTAGTGCGCTATTTTCGTAACTGTCCCAAGGACGTTTCTATGATGTATAAATAAACGAGAGTTGTGTATTTGATTGTATTGTGACTGCTGGGTATTTGTAGAATATACTTTCTACGCTTACAAAGCCTTTTATCTTCAGTTTGGGATTCAATGTAGCCTATCTGGACGCTAGCAATTTACTCGTTCTCGTTTATTGACTAAGGTGAACTCGTAATAGCATCAAGCATACCTAGTGACGAACATAACACAATCAATACATGATCGCCATGTTGGCATCTCAAGGAAGTGGATAATTAGTTGTTCATCCGAGAATTAGTTATACATGACTGGTAGATTACATTTAGAAAGTAATCCAACTGACATGAACAACTGGAAAATCAATTTTTCTATGTATCAATCATTACATAACAAAGAGAATTCACATTTTTATGAAGACGTAGAAAATGCTCGAAATACTTCATCGAAAACAAGACAGTGGTAGTGTTTCGTTCTCTGAGCTGAACTTCAGACAGAAGTTTGTGCTGATGATGTTGTTCAATAGAAGAACAATGAAAGCTCTACAATTGAAATATCCAGCTCAGAGAACGAAACACCACCACAACCATCCACCTGAGCTACAGATTTTCCCCACCATTTCAAAGTAGACACTGACGAGGTGGGACAACAATAAATTTACAGCAATTCAAGTATGTTAGGTTCCATGTATAGTGGGTAAAATTTGTAGCTCAGAAGAATGATTAAGGTGTTTTTTCAGCTGAAGGTTTCGGTTGTGGAGAATAGGATCAAGAACCAAATCAAAGGGGAATATAATCAAAAGAAAGTGGAATACGATGACCGGTTAAAGGTCAATCAAAATCAACCAAGTCCGAGGTTAACAGAACAAACAACGAGAAATTCGGATACTTCACATGTACATGCAGTTTGCGATAATATTCAAACGAACAGCAAAACCTTCACAAACAAAACATCCAACTCAGAGAACAAAATTCCACCGTAGGTTCCATCCATATTTGTGAGACATAGAGAAAACTAAATCTAGGATACATTAAGTTCACTCAATCATAAATACATATCTTTCTTGTTTCAAAGAGAAAGTCACATTTTCAAACAATGATGTGCATCCCATCACCTTGAAAATGAAGATAAATCTGGACTAGTACGGTACACTTATAAAAGGGCATCACAACTAATTTCCCATGCAATACAGGGAGAGTTCAATAGGAATACAAACATGATCTGCCTACCAGATGAATTTAGCGATCACTACCTAACTTTGAACACTTATCAACTGATAGCTTACAACAATAAACAGAAAGTGTTTCTAATGTGTATTTGATAACGATAGGTGATTTCAGATATAAGTTCAACGATTATCTATCGATCTGAACAAGGTCAAACTAATGTGTCTAACGGTGTAGGTTAATAAAACAATCAAACAACTTAATAATTCATAACTTTTTAAATGGTTGAGACAAAGTTTAAATCGTTAAATCCAATTAATATGAATGTGCATACACACCTTTCTGCAACTCGCTTATCACAATTTGACTTTAAAAAGTGTTCGATATTCAAGTCTGAAAATATATTGATAGCTATTATTTGAAAACATCGAGAATTTTTCAGAAGTTTAACAATCAATATTAGTTACTAAATTACAATTTATGGATGGAAATGACTTAAAATGTCTAACAAAGGTTTCTTCAATACAGAAGATAACATATTCAGTGACGAAGATGAATAACTGAATGTTGAAACTTAAAAAATATCTTTAAAGATCATTCCACGTTTCAAGAGAATTTTGTATTTGGATTGTTGTATGATGATTGTCAACAGTAGACTTTTAGTGATCAACAGAATATAGAGAGCTGAAAAGCTCTGAAGTGCCCCGACACGCCCGAGAGTGGAAAGAGTCTGCTCTCCCTTTCTACAAATGCTTTCATATAACTACGCATGTATAGCCACCACAAGGACACTACTCACTGCCTTATCATTGTTTACCGAATTCAGTGAATGAGAAGCGATTGTCTAACCAGGTATGTTGTAGATACGGAGGATTCATTTAGAGGATTTGCGAAATTCTGATCGCACAATAATCGTGCACATAAACTCCAGCATCTTGAACGAACATAAATAGAGTATGAAGGTATTCTAGGGTCCCCAACTACCATTGCATTCACCTTACGTTGCTCCACTGCTTCGTCGATTAGACTTGGAGGTAAAACGCTCGAAAAGTGGTGAGAACCTCTGACAAAAATCATCTGATTTTGTTTGGGCAGTATCTCGTCCAAAAACACAGAAATTCAATCATTGTTGTAGCGAATAATTTACTCACGTACTACACTACCTCTCTGTACAAATAACTGCATTTAACTCAATCAATCAATCAATAAACAGAGCAGAAAATGAAAACTAACTGAAATGATGAAATGATGAAAATATTGTTTGTCAAATGAATAAATCTAAAGTATTCATTAATGAAGCATTTAATTTATCAAGATATTTAATTGAAAAACATTGATCATTGAAGATGAGTAGTACATTTAAACAAAAAGAATAGTAAATAAGAATAATTGAATGTTTTTTCGCAAATTCACATTTATACACAAAATTTATCAATACATATATTTCATAAATGATCTTTTTTTAAATTAAAAATAAGCAAGAAGTTGAATACATGGCCTAATTCTATAAACACAAACAACTTTCTAATTGATTCGTTTCAATTGATCAATAATGGCGTCGAAAAAATCCATTGTGGTTAAATAATGTTCCGGTTTTAGATTTTCTGGGCCATGAATACAAATTGCTAAATCTTTTGTCATTTTCCCTGATTCTATGGTATTGATACAGGCTTTTTCTAAACGATGACAAAATCTATCCAGAAAAAAAAATCGAAATGAATTATTTTTTAATTAAGAAAAGTCTTCGATTCATTTAATGATAGAATTATTTGCAAAAATAAAAGAATTGAATATTTACAAATACTAATCGATTGATCTTTCTTGGCAACTAAAAATTTTGGTGTGCAAGAAGAGTTTAAGTTAAAACAACACCGTTGGATTCCGGTACAGAGGTCTAGAAGTTAAGCGTTTGCGCGCGATACCGAAGATTCTGGGTTCGAGTCCCACTGGCGGAGATCGCGGATGCGCTGTACCGAAGAGTTTTGTACTAGGACGAAACTGACTGTCTAGTGATTCTAGGTTTCTCTCGATAATGATCTAACAATCCCCAGATAAGTGAAGCGGTCAACAAGCTCAACTGCTTCACTCCCTATCACTAGTTCAGGTGCCGATACAAACCAATCCTGAAGCAACATTTCGCATTTCGGGGAGGAGAGTCGCATTGCGGACATGCTTTTTATGTCACAGAGATATTCTCTTCATACAAATAATGTACATTGAGTATTATATTCGATAAGAGCATAAATAAGTCAGTCGATTGGCAATATGAAATAGTCTGTAATGTAGTACTTGGTACGTACGTATATACGTACGTCGAAACTTCTACTATTTCTACCACTATGGGATGTGAATAGACAATTCCATCTCTGTGTGCTAATATTGTATGACAAGTTGAACTGATGTACGGACGTATCAAGCTCTACAAATGCAACTAACTGATCTCGACACAATAATATAAAATTATTCACCCTTACATCCTTAGTCAAACCAAACTGTCCGAAAGCACACACATTATATTTGTCTTTCTAACCTTATCTCACTGAATTATACTTCTTGAATAATATCTTCAAACTCTACGCACGTACGAAGTTCTACGTCGCGACTGACTGACTAACAAGTATACATACACAACGAACATATGAGCTAGAGATTGAATAAATTAATTTTCACAAAGAAATCACTGTGAACTCACTGAATCAATTCAATATTGTCATCTAATTTACCACGATGTTCTAAACCTCTAGTCCATGCAAATATAGATGCTATAGGATTTGTACTAGTTGGTAAACCTTTTTGATATTCTCTATAATGACGTGTAACAGTACCATGTGCTGCTTCCGCTTCCATTGTTTTACCATCTGGACACATTAATACCGATGTCATAAGACCTAATGAACCATAACCTTGATAGGAAATAGGAAAAAAACATTATAGACTTGTGAATATTAACCAGTGCTGCATAGATTTGAGATTTGACAAGGGAAATTCTTTAATTTAACGTTTGAAAATGGAAACGCAAACAAATGTCCTCCATTAGGTTAAGTATAAATAAGAATACTGATTTATTGTGGTGGTGGTGCTTGGTTTTCTGAGTTGGATGTTTTGCTTGTGGAGCTTTCATTGTTCTTCCGATGAACAACATCATCAGTACAAACTTCATCCCGACCGAAGCTGCTACCTTGACGTGGTGGTCGGGCTTGCCTATCGTGATGACCCAACCGAGCTATACTGGCTGGAACATATGTTCCTGCAGGTCCTACCATGCCAGGCAGGTCGATTGGAGAACGATGAGACTAAAAGCAGCTACCCAAGGTCTGAGGGCGAAGTCGTACTGCTGACTGACTGAAGAGGGGTGTGACAACAGTAAGGTGTTTCCCTCGGACAACTAGCATCTGCAGTGATGCTGCCTTCTTTCTCACAAGGAAGGAAGGGTTAGAAAAGGTCGACCCTAAAAATGTCACACCTCCCCTAACTCACGGATTTCCGTCTCCCTTGGTTAGGGTGCCCACTAAGGGCCTTTAAGAACGGAGCTAATCCTCTAAATACCTCTCATAAAAAGGCCGTGCGTGACCGGCCTCAAGCAGTTGTCCCTTGGACTCTGCGGTCACGCACCAACACTAATCTATCTTCCTTTTCAGGTCCCTCAAGAAACAACCTTCCACGGTGTGGGCAGCCGGGAAGTGACAACCGCCCTCATACCCGTAACAGCACGCGAGACCGAATTGGTCAAAATCAAATCCTTCCTACAACCCCTAATGTCTCTCTTATCTCTACGACTAACTCTACTCACACTCCCTTTTCTCACTGCACCGCTAATGCAGATGAAGTGAGATCACGAAACGTCGTTCCTGGTCTCTTGAAACCCAGTTCTAGACTACATGTTGGAGCTTTTAATGTACGGACATTGTGTCAAATAGGGCAACAGGCATCATTAGCTAGGACTTTGGAAACTCGTGCCATCGATGTATGCTGCGTCTCGGAAACGCGCATACAGGATCCTAGTAAAGTCATTAACCTGATTCCACCTTGTCAAAACGAAGAAGCAGCTCGATTTACCCTTCGTGTATCCGGTAGCCCTGATGCTGCTTCCAGGGGTCTTGCTGGCGTAGGCATAGCGTTGAGTCCTAGGGCAGAATTATCTCTCCTTGACTGGATCCCTGTAGATAGTCGTTTGTGCGCTGTCCGACTAAACGGGACAGTAAGGACTCGGAAGGATAGGGACACTCGCCGTTGCCTCTTTGTCATATCTGCCTATGCCCCCACTGAATGCAGTTCAGACGAGGTTAAAGATGAGTTTTACAGAAAGCTTTCGGACCTCCTCCAAAACGCTAAGCGCTCTGATATAGTAATAATGGCTGGTGACTTTAATGCTCAAGTAGGTAGACTAGGTGAAAAGGAAAGACATCTTGGTGGATGTTATGGTGTAGCGACTGAGAGAACAGACAATGGCGACCGTCTGTTGCAACTATGCTCAGATAACCGCCTATTCTTAGCGAACACCAACTTTAGGCATAAGGAAAAGCATCTGTTGACCTGGCGACCCCCGAAATCGTCTCAACGTTGGACTCAACTAGATCACATCGCCATCAGCCACCGATGGAGGGGTTCGATAGAAGACTGTCGCTCGTTCTGGGGCACATGTTTGGATTCAGATCATGCTCTAGTTCGAGCTCGTATCTGCTTAAGGCTTACTGGACGTAGGAAAGACACCGTAAGAAAGCCTCTCAGGGTTTTACTTAATGATAATCAAACCAAGAAAATATTTCAGGAGGAACTAGAAAGAGAGTTAAGCAACGATGTAAGTGATTCCCATCCAGAAGCAGGTTGGTATGATATCAAAAAGGCTGTGGAAACAGCAGTGATATCTGCTAGTAAGGTAAACCATAAGGCTAGGATGAAGCCGTGGACATCAGTTGCATCCACCGAACTGATGGATGCTCGAAAACGCATCCCACCTGACTCTGAGCATGATGAAGAGCGTAGTCAGCTTAGGCGCAGACTTATAAAAAGTCTGCGTAACGACCGCGAACAGTGGTGGGTGGCGAAAGCAAAAGCGATGGAAAAGGCAGCGGCGATAGGCAACACTAGACAACTTTTCCGACTTATCAAGGAAACTGGTATTAAGAACCCGAATGTGAGTGAGACTATCTCAGAAAATGACGGGACTATTATTTATTCTCAATCCAGGAGACTGGATCGATGGGTAGAACACTTTAGGGATCAGTTCAACTGGCCACGAGCCACTCTTCGGTTACCCACGATCTCCAGTCATCCTGAATGGCAAATCGACGTAAGTCCCCCCAGTCTTAATGAAGTTGAAAAAGCGTTAGGAAATCTGAAACGAGGACGAGCTGCAGGTCCTGATAGACTGACCCCTGAGATATTTAAGGATGGTGGTCCAGTTTTAGCAGCTAGGTTGACTGAGATCTTAGGTAGAATCTGGGAACTGGACGCAATCCCATCCGACTGGTCTCAATCCTTGATTGTCCCAATCTATAAGAAAGGACAAAAGTCTTCTTGTGACAATCACAGGGGAATAAGTCTAACTAATATAGTTTCTAAAATACTGGCCTCAATAATACTTCGACGCTTAACGAAAGCTCGTGAAGAGCAGACTCGAGAAAACCAGGCTGGTTGTCGACCTGGCCGTGGCTGTATAGACCACATCTTCACACTACGACAGGTCCTGGAACACAGACACACATTTAGGCGTCCTACAATAGTTGTTTTCCTAGACCGGAAGGCGGCATTCGACTCAGTGGATCGTGAGGTTCTGTGGCAGCGTCTGTCATTGAAAGGTGTACCAAAGAAGTACATTAACCTTATACAAGCTCTCTACGCGAACACCACTGGTCGAGTGAGGGCTTATGGCGAACTGTCAACGGAATTCTCTACATCAAGTGGTGTCCGTCAGGGATGTCCACTTTCTCCATTTTTATTTAATTTTATCATAGACATGCTCCTAGAAATAACCTTATCCTCGTCTGAATTTTCAGGAGTAGACCTTCTACCAGGTGGCTCGCTTATTGACTTAGAATATGCCGATGACATTGTCCTACTTGGTGAAGACGCTGACAAAATGCAGAGTCTTCTGACCACCCTAAGCAACAATGCAAGCATGTTCGGGATGAGGTTTTCCCCCTCGAAATGCAAAATGTTGCTTCAAGATTGGGTTGCATCGGCACCTGAACTAGTGATAGGGAGTGAAGTAGTCGAACATGTAGACCGCTTCACTTATCTTGGGAGTCTCATCAGTGCTGATGGCCTGGTGACTGACGAAATCTCGGCACGGATACAGAAGGCTCGATTGTCTTTTGCCAACCTGCGTCACTTATGGCGTAGGCGAGATATCCGTTTGCTCACTAAAGGACGAGTGTACTGCGCAGTGGTTCGCTCCGTCTTACTTTATGGCTGTGAAACATGGCCTTTAAAAGTAGAAGATATTCGTAGGTTACTGGTTTTCGATCATAGGTGTCTTCGAAGCATTGCTCGTATATCGTGGGGCACCCGAGTGAGCAACGCTGTTATTAGGAATCGGGTGCTATGTAAGAATGGCAGATCAATCGATGAAGTGGTGAAACTTCATCAGTTGAGGTGGTTGGGACATGTGTTGCGTATGCCTAACCACCGACTGCCTCGTCGATCTTTGCTTTGTAGTGTAGGAATAGGTTGAAAGTTAGGGGTGGCCAAATCAAAACATGGCAGAAATCCATGAAGTCATTGACTAGTGGACTTAGCCATGTCGGTAATTGTCGACTACCTGGTTGGGGTCCGCGAGATGATAATAATCGATGGCTAGAGACCTTGAATGACATGGCTCAAAATCGTTCGCAATGGCGCCAGTGAATTTATTCTTTGTGTTCTCTCAAATCATAATCTTCTGGATTCTTCAACTCCTCTAGTTTTGACTTTCTAAACTTATCTCATTGAATCATACTTCGTGAATAATATCTTCTAATCCTAACCTCTCCGATTACTTCTAGTACCTTTACTACCTCTTCTTCTATTGGATTTGCATTGACGATTACTTCTCTGTGCTGATGTGGTATGGCGACATGAACTGATGTACTTACGTACAAAGTTCTACGTTGCATCTGACTGACTGACTGACAAACTTCAGACAGAAGTGAAGCATTCGAATTGTGCTGATGATGTTGTTCATCGGAAGAACAATGAAAGCTCCACAATCATCCACCTGAGCTACAAATCTTCTCCGCCATCTCAATACTGATATAATTAATAGAAGTTATTTATTGAATATGAGATATACTTGAAACGCATATATATGAAAGAAAGCTTGATGATACTATCAAGTTATCCGAATTCATATAGGTAAGATAAGATTCAAACTGTGGAGTTATTCAGTGAAATTTCGGAAATCTTAAAACTGATTAACTTTAGTGGACCCAGTCAATCAGTAACAATGTAGAACTTCGTACATACGTATATCAGTTCAAGTTGCCATACCACACTAGCACAAAGACGCAATTGTCAATTAAAACCCCAGAGGGATCGATTGGAAAATAGGAAAAACGGTCATTAGGAATTCAGAAGATTAGAATTTGAAAGAACATAAGGAGTGGATGCACCTGTGTCATTGCAAACTATTTTGAGGAATGTCATTCAAGGTCTCTAACCATCGATTACTATCATCTCGCAAGCCCCAACCAGATAGCCAACAGGGTTTTTTAGAAGACAGAAAAAAAGCATTACTACTATCATCGGTTAGCTTGTGGTGCGCGCTACTTATAAGTAGTATATGACGTGAGTGAAAACGTAATGTCTGGTAGCAGAAGATGGGGGAAGATCAAGAAAAGAAGAGTGGGAAAACAATGGAATTTGTATGAAATGCATGAACAGTGAAATGTCAGACAATTGATTGATGATGGATTGATGTTTTGCAAATTAACGGTTTACGATATGTTTTCCCTATTTTACCAATTAACTCTGTAATTTTCGGTAAATACAAATCGGTTGCCCTTACCTGTGTTCTCCTTCACTACAAGCTGACTGCATTCTATTCATTCACTGTTGCTACAGTATTATTCACTCAACATATCAGTTAAGTAAAAACGATTGATGAATGATACGTAACTGCATTAAACTCTGTTGTAGGGCTCATTATTTCAGTGACCCGCTATCTGACTTCATTATTTTTGAATAGTCGAATATGCTGTGAAATAAATCTCCCCTTCAGTTTTTCGAATATCCATCGTACATAGGCGAACCCTGTTTGTGCAATGGCGGTAAGAAGAAGAAGAAGCCAAACACGAATTCAGTTAGATGAGTTTATTTCAAACAATCTTTTGTGCAGACAGACATGATAATCAAAAGCATACAAGCAGAACGGAGTGAAGTGAAGCGCAGAAGACCAGTGATGAACCTAACCATGAGTTCAATGCAGCCCACTAAAATTGGCTAGATCAACCTAGTTCTTTATTGATTGAGCTAGTGTATTGACTGACCATAATGAAATTTCGGATCTCCCGTCTGACAATTAGATCTGCTATTTAATAAAACATTCAGTCAGTCAGATGCAACGTAGAACTTCGTATGTAAGTACATCAGTTCATGTTGCCATACCACATCAGCACAGAGATGTAATTGTCAATTCAAATCCAATAGTAGAAGAGGTAGTGAAGGTGTTAAAAGTAATCGAAGAGATTAGGATTAGAAGATATCATTATTCAAGAAGTATGATTCAGTGAGATAAGTTTAGAAAGTCAAAACTAGAGGAGTTGAAGAATCCAAAAGATTAGGATCAGGTAGTCGACAACTACCGACATCACTCAGTCGACTTGTCAATGACTTTATGGACTGCTGCCATGTTTTGGTTTGGCCGCCCCTAACTTAATAAAACATTAACATGCCTATTACAAAACAATGGTTGATTTGAATATTTACTTGCAACTTTTTAAATATTATCAAATGTAAAGATGATTTTAACCGTGAACATCAATCACTGATATGTTATGTAGTCTAGAACTCCGCGTGGAGCACCTCCAGACCTACTGCCAGTCCCAAACCCGAATAAACGAGGAGGGTTGGGGTATGGGTGGCTAACGACTCAATCCCAGTAGAAAACTAACTCACTAAACAGCTAACCAGGAAAAAAGTATTGTTAGTGGGACATAGATGGAGTTAAGGCAGGACTACGTTGCTACGCGCTGATTGACTAATTACCTATCCAATCAGCGCCTGATCGATTCTTGGAGAACACGGTGGAAAATTCTCGTACTGTTAGCTGCATGCTGATTGGTTAAATCTAATCCATTCGATCACGTGTATTTCTATCCAGAAGCTTCTCATGTAACTGTGCTATAAATAGACTAACATTGTATCTATTTTCGCCTTTGCCTTCGGCTTCTTATTTCCATTTAACCTTGCTATTTTGGAATATAAATCTTTTCCCTGTTCAATCGTGTTTTTTGATTCTTTTTGGGAACTTGTTCAGTAGTGTATTGTGGTCAGAGTATATATACTAAGCAATAGGATTTAGCTGGGAATTATCTAAGCAACAAGTATGTAGCCAGTGATTTGACAGAAAAACACATGTACACTTCTATAGATTATATAGCATAAAATAATAATTCAATTACCTTGAGCAATAATATCACTTTGAACATCACCATCATAATTTTTACAAGCCCAAACAAAACCACCATTGGATTTCAATGCTTGTGCTACCATATCATCAATTAAACGATGTTCATACCAAATTTTATTCTGTTCAAATTTTTTTTGATAATCTCTTTTGTTTTTTTGTGTTTAAAGAAGAAAAAAAGATTTTTCTTATAAAAATAACCAACCAACTCACTAAAGTATAGAGCGAAGAATTTTTTGTTCTATATATGATCTTATAATTGAATTTTTCTGTTCAAGAAAGACTAAAACGAACATATATTATTGCCGAAAATTGGAAGCATGTAGTCACTTTCAGTATTGTAAATAATGACAGATTCAGATTGCCTGAAGGCAGAGTGTTCACACTCGCTTCGAATTGAGATCATGTTCCCTACCGTAGCTGTTATATTGACGTGGTGGTCGGGCTTGCCTATCGTGATGACCCAACCGAGCTATACTGGCTGGAACATATGTTCCTGAAGGTTCTACCATGCCAGCCAGGTCGAGACTAAAAGCAGCTACTCAAGGTCTGAGGGCGAAGTCGTACTGCTGACTGACTGAAGAGGGGTGTGACAGCAGTAAGGTGTTTCCAACGGACAACCAGCATCTGCAGCGATGCTGCCTTCTTTCTCACAAGGAAGGAAGGGTTAGAAAAGGTCGACCCTAAAAATGTCACACCTCACCCTACCTCACAGATTTCCGTCTCCGGCAGTAAGAGTGCCCACTAATGGATTTTAAGGGCGAAGCTAACACTCAGAAAAACCCTTCATAAAAAGGCCGTGCGTGACCGACCTCAAGCAGTTGTAGCTTGGGCTCTGCGGTCACGCTCCCAGGTCTCTAAGATTAACACTAATCTACTTCCCTTCTCAGGTTCCTCAAGAAACAACCTTCCACGGTGTGGGCAGCCGGGAAGTAACAACCGCCCTCATACCCGTAACAGCACACGAGACCGAATTGATCAAAATCAAGTCCATCTTACACCCCCTAATATCTCTCTTATCTCTACGATTAACTCCAGTCGCATTCCTTCATCTCACTGTACAGCTAATCCAAACGATGCGAGTTCAGGAAACGTCATTCCTGGTCTTTTGAAACTCCGTTTTAAACTACATGTTGGAGCATTTAATTTACGGACATTGTATCAAATAGGGCAACAGGCATCATTAGCTAGGACTTTAGAATCTCATGCCATCAATGTGTGCTGCGTCTTGGAAACGCGCTTACAGGATCCTATTAAAATTATTAATCTGATTTCACCTTATCAAAATAAAAAAGCAGCCCGAAATCTATGTAGGCTGTCACCGATTCTTGATTGCTGACACTGTTGAAAGATATTTCTCCTTATGTAAAACAGATTACTAGTGAGTATGATGACCTGTGAGAATGATCCTGGAGACTAAGTAACAATTGCTTCAGATTAGTCAAACATGTTTTTTGTGAATTTCTGATAATACAGACAATACAAAAAATTGTGTAAGGTAAGATAAAGTATTTTATTTTCAAAAATAAACGCCTCTATTCCTCACTCCAATATATAGGAAGGCAATATCGCTGGAAATTTAGATCATCCGTGAGGAAGACAGCATGTTCACCATACTTCAGTACATTTGACAGTTTGACTTCACTCTTCTACACTGTATTCATTTTTATTGGTCTAACAAATGACCAACTGAACTGTTTAGAATGGTAGAATCTGAAGGGATAAATTATCCAGACAATTTAACTTAACTGGATCATCATAATACCATGGTTAAAGTAGCAGCTAATCGAATGACGTTTGAAGGATCAGGACTTTGATGAACGGAAAGCTGAGTGCTTTAACCACTACTGACCCAATGTTCAAGCACAAGTTATATATATATATATATATATATATATATATATATATATATATATATATATATATAAATTCCATAGCATTGATAAAATATGCTAGAAAGAGAACAATTATTTCCCCCCATTTGAACATTCACAACCATTGGAAAAATCATAGAACATTCCTAACTTTTGTAAGTTCGCAAAAAGAAACATAAGTTTTGTTGACTTTGCACTTATTAGCAACCCATAATTTTCTTGATCAGGGTCAGTAACTTTAGATTTTATTAGATATGATTATAGTTGGATATTTTATTATTTAAAAGGACTGAGCATAAAAACCTACATAATTTGTGTCCTTGTTTTAAGTGTATCTATACTTGTAATGTCAGTTACAGCCTAGAACTTCACATTCCTTTTAAAAAAGGTTTAGAATTCTCCATTGTTGATACTAAGACCTGAAACCAATCATCGCTTATACATATATGCAATGGCGCAGGTGTATTTATTCTTTGTGTTATATGAAATTCTAACCTTCTGAATCCCTGATTACCTCTATCTTTCTCTTTCTAAATTTACCTCACTGAATTATACTTCTTGAATAATATCTTCGAACCCTAAATCTCTCCGATTACTTCTAGTACTTTTACTACCTCTACTACCATGGGATTTGAATTTACAATTATATCTCTGTGGTATGGCAACTTGAACTGATGTACTTACGTGCAAAGTTCTACGTTGCTGTTGATGATGATCATTAAAGACAATAGGCGCTGGGTTTAAGTCCCAACGGGAATATCAACACTGATATGCAAATAAATCTAGCTGACGAGTTTCATATAGAATATAATAGGTATTCTAGATTCTATTATTAGCCACATGACAAAATTTACTTAAAAAAAACGTCATTATATTTAGTATGACGCAGTTCTTCTTCACTCTTTTTATTGCGCCATACACGGTGCTACATGGACTTCGCAGATGATCTAGACCTTCTGTATCACATACAACAACAAATGCAAGCGAAGCCGACCAGTTTAACAGCAGTCTCTGCAACATACACAAGGAGAAAAGCAAGATCCTTCAATACGACGCAACACGTACCAACCAAATCATACTTGATGGAGAAGCTTTGAAGGATGTAGAAACCTTTACATACCTGGGCAGCATCATTGATGAGCAAGGTGTATCTGACTGATGCAAATGTAAAGACGTGGATTGGCAAGGCAACGGCAGTATTTCCACGACTGAACAACATCTGGAACTCAAAACATCTCTGTGCTAATGTGGAATGGCAACATGAACTGATGTACGTACGTACGAAGTTCTACGTTGCTAGTGATTGATTGATCAAAACAACTATGAATCAAAGTCATAACTTTCAATACAAATGTCAAGACAGTTCTACAGTATGGAGCAGAAACTTGAAGAACCACAAAAGCCATAATTCAAAAGATACTAGTGTTTAATAACAGTTGTCTACGCAAAATACTTCGGACCCGTTGGCCAGACACTATCAAAAACAACCAGCTGTGAGAGAGAACAAACCAGATCCCAGTGGAGAAAGAAATCAGAAAAAAGGGCTGGAGGTGGATAGGACACAACACAAGCCCTCACTTGAAATCCTCAAAAACCAAATGAGAAGAGGAAGACCAGAAAACACACAACACACCGAGAAATGGAGACAGACATGAGAAGTATGAACAACAGTTGGACAGAACTGGGAAGAAGGCTCAGGACAGGGTAGACTTGAGAATGTTGGTCGGTGGCCTACGCTATAATTAGGGATAACAGGCGAAAGTAAGTACCTAAGTCAATAGATCGTGTTACGAATAAATTATAAATAACATAACTTGATGAGTATTACTGTGATTATGCATACATTTTTACACATTTGCAAACATCAATCAATCATTGTTAGACCACCATTAGAAACCTGGAAGCACTGGACGGCCGTTTCGTCCTGGTATGAGACTCATCAGCAGTGCGCATCCACGACTCCTGCACCTCGCAGGATTCGAACCCGGGACCTTCGGTATTGTACGCGAACGCCTAACCATCGAACCACTGGGCCGGCATCCAACGGTGTTAATGGATGCGTACTGCTGATGAGTCCCATACCAGGACGAAACGGCCGTCCAGTGCTTCCAGGTTTCTAATGGTGGTCTAACAATGATTGATTGATGATTTCAAATGTGTAAAAAACACAAACCTCCAAAGCTCTGCCGGAAAATAACATACATTTTTGCCATATAATTGAAGCAGAAGAAAGAATATATATAAATACATCATAATAAGAAATTAAAATTTCTTACTGGTTAAATACCTCTTGAAATATATCTTTGAATCGACCATCATATTGTTTTAAAATAGTATTTTTAGTACTTAAATATAATGGCCATTTTTTATTTAATGCATATTCAAAACAACTACGTGCAAAACCATAAATACTCTAAAAGTAATATAAAAAAAATAATATGAAATTATTAGGGATTAAGAGAATTTAAATGTTTGCTAAATTATTATTATTATTATCATGGTGTAAGCTGGAGAACATCTACAGTCAGATCAACAACGTCTTCGATGACATTAAATTCACGATGCAAAAGGAATCAAACAACAGTCTATCATTCCTGCATGTACTAATCATCAGAACTAACACAGGAAAACTAGAAACTCAAGTATTTCGGAAGCCAACCCACACAGACGTAATTCTCAACTACGACAGCAACAACCCAAGAACCCACATAGGACAAAGTGGACGACCTCTTCAGCTTCGTTTACGTGAACACCAATTAGCAGTTAAACGCCACGAGAACTCTTCGCTTATATCAATACACACCGACAATTATGGGCATACATTCGATTGGGACAGTGTGGAAATATTGGATAAGGGGAGGACAAAGAACACTAGAGAATTTTTAGAAGCTTGGCACTCAGGTCAATCAGTAATCAATAAACACATCGACATTGACCCAATTTACCAACCAAACAGAAAAATCATAAGGAATATAGGATCAAGAAACAGATCAAAAAGAGGATACCATCAAAACAAAGTTGCAAACAACGACAGGTCAAAAGTCAACAGCAAACAATCAAGATCGAGGTTAGCAGAACAAGCTACAGGTCAAACGTGGAGAAATTCGAATGCTTCACTTCTATCTGAAGTTTGTGCTGATGATATTGTTCAGTAGAAGAACAATGAAAGCTCCACAACCAAAACATCCAGCTCAGAGAACGAAACACCACCACAATCATCCACCTGAGCTACAAGTTTTCCCCACCATCTCAAAATCATATGAGGGAGATAATTTTATTTAATGAATAAATAACTAGAAGTTTAGGAAACATGGGAAATATTTACATATTATTATTTCTGTTTTTTTTCAAAAAAAAAAAGGTGAATATGAGTACAATGAGTTTGAAAGGTTCTAATTACTAATATTAGGAATACCTAGTCAGTCGGCTATAACGTAGAACTTTGTTCGTACACACATCAGTAGAAGTATTGGCGATAATTAGAAGGAATAGGGTTTGAAAATATCATTAGAGTAGCATAATTAGGTGAAAAAAATTCAAAAGGAGAAACATAAAGGTGATGAGGAATTTGGAAGATTACAAGAATTTTAGCGAATACAAAGAATGGGTGCACCATAGCCACCGAAAATGATTTCCAGCCATGGCGCTCTACTTCCACATTCAATAATAACTCTAGGGATTGGTGGTTGTGCAGTGTACCTAGCGTTTGGATAATTATCATTTTTGTGCATGATCAGATGTTGTTCAGTAATGTTTATCAGTCTCAATACTTAGAGAGGATAAGGGCACACATCACATGACATTAAAGGAGTGAACCGGTTCATCGTAGCTGGGAAAGTCACAGGCAAGCGGGTTCGACTCCTATCCATATGTTTATTTGAGACCCAAGATTTAGTCTGTTCACTCTTTTTAGTTAAAGATGAAGAGTGTTTTGGTCCCATAGACGTTTATTTCGAGAAAAATTCAGTTTCCCCCGGGTACTCTTGTGCAATATATTTTGGCGATTTACCCTTAAACTTATTAATTTTAGCTGGAATTGTGTTGTGTTTTAGCACATATACAATCAATTTAACGTTCGAACAGCTGGGATTAGGAATGCAGGTGTCGTTCGATTTCTTGGTGACAGAGGGGATCCGTACTTTGTTAGAAGGTTTACAGTCCACAGGCTCATCAAGATCTACATCGTGGTTTATTTGTTTATTTACTTTCATGACATTGAGGGTTATTTTCTGTAGATTGTCTGCTGTAACACCGTTATGTGATCTTGTCGCCTCTCTTGTTTTTACACGACGTTGACAAGGCGTTAGATCCGGGGTAACCTTTACTTCTTTGTATAAGGTTGATGAGCTAATATTTTTGCTCAAACGGATAAATTGTTTGGCGTCGTTGCAGCAGCCGAATTTGAAAAGGAGAGGGCAAGTTGATTTGTCCGATTTTTTTCCGAGGCATGTGACTTGACAGCTGACGTTTGCCATATCACAGCCTTGTAGACAGGTATCCTTTAGCGAAGTCAAGGATGTGCGGTCGGGGAGGTTATAAGCTTTCGCATTGCAGGAAGACATTATTCTTTTCGTAACTTCCTCAGCTACAAAATCTAGGATATGTTCCGCTTTGGCTAATTCTTCTAGGTTCCTATCATTATTCGGGGCCCATAAGTGCATGAGGGGTGCTAACAGGTTAAGCTTATCGTTAATTTGAGCGAGTGAATTTTGTAACTGTCGTATCTCGCTGCCATGTCGATTACTATTATAATTTGTACCAATAGTGAAACTCGTTGATATAAGAGGCACTATACCAACGTATACAGAAATTTCAACACAGAATAAACCTCAATGAAATCCTGTGAAGTAAAAATCTAAAACTTCACAAACCAAAGTATCGAATAATCCATGCGACACCGATAATAGTAAATGTCGTATCTCGATACCTTGGTTTGTGAAGTTTTAGATTTTTACTTCACAGGATTTCATTGAGGTTTATTCTGTGTTGAAATTTCTGTATACGTTGGTATAGTGCCTCTTATATCAACGAGTTTCACTATTGGTACAAATTATAATAGTAATCGACATGGCAGCGAGATACGACAGTTACAAAATTCACTCGCTCAAATTAACGATAAGCTTAACCTGTTAGCACCCCTCATGCACTTATGGGCCCCGAATAATGATAGGAACCTAGAAGAATTAGCCAAAGCGGAACATATCCTAGATTTTGTAGCTGAGGAAGTTACGAAAAGAATAATGTCTTCCTGCAATGCGAAAGCTTATAACCTCCCCGACCGCACATCCTTGACTTCGCTAAAGGATACCTGTCTACAAGGCTGTGATATGGCAAACGTCAGCTGTTACGTCACTCGCCTCGGAAAAAAATTCGGACAAATCAACTTGCCCTCTCCTTTTCAAATTCGGCTTCTGCAACGATGTCAAACAGTTTATCCGTTTGAGCAAAAATATTAGCTCATCAACCTTATACAAAGAAGTAAAGGTTACCCCGGATCTAACGCCTTGTCAACGTCGTGTAAAAACAAGAGAGGCGACAAGATCACATAACGGTGTTACAGCAGACAATCTACAGAAAATAACCCTCAATGTCATGAAAGTAAATAAACAAATAAACCACGATGTAGATCTTGATGAGCCTGTGGACTGTAAACCTTCTAACAAAGTACGGATCCCCTCTGTCACCAAGAAATCGAACGACACCTGCATTCCTAATCCCAGCTGTTCGAACGTTAAATTGATTGTATATGTGCTAAAACACAACACAATTCCAGCTAAAATTAATAAATTTAAGGCTAAATCGCCAAAATATATTGCACAAGAGTACCCGGGGGAAACTGAATTTTTCTCGAAATAAACGTCTATGGGACCAAAACACTCTTCATCTTTAACTAAAAAGAGTGAACAGACTAAATCTTGGGTCTCAAATAAACATATGGATAGGAGTCGAACCCGCTTGCCTGTGACTTTCCCAGTTACGATGAACCGGTTCACTCCTTTAATGTCATGTGATGTGTGTCCTTATCCTCTCTAAGTATTGAGACTGATAAACATTACTGAACAACATCTGATCATGCACAAAAATGATAATTATCCAAACGCTAGGTACACTGCACAACCACCAATCCCTAGAGTTATTAGTGAACGTGAAGTAGAAGATTTTGCACCCCACATCCTATCCTTAATACCCAGGCTTTCAAGTGCAAACCCTAACCATCCGAATGAAAACTCGATACATTCCACCTTACCAAGTCAGCCGGTAAAAAATGACCCCTAAAATTAGAGAAGTTCATAACAACTGGCACTTGAACACGGTACACCTTCCCCATGTTAAAACCATCCCAAATAGATATAACCATAATTACGAGTTGTATCACCAAGGCTGTGTACTACAAAGAGTAGTGCACTGCACTGCCAACCTTTACAAAACTTTTTTTAGGACACAGCCACTTTCGGTAGCCCTAGTGTGATATATACAGCTCAAGTCATTTCACATCACATACAGAATATGAAATCACTCTCCACACAATCTCGAACAGGAAACGTTCTGGTTCTTCGCCCGGGCTAACAACCCCTCCTGGAAGCTTGAGTAATTTATTTGGTATGTCTCCTCCTGTCAACCCCTGTCAACAACAAAACCCGCAGTCGAACAACCATTCCATGACTTTAAAATCATATCACACTCATGTACGTTTTAGTAACCCCTTGATTCAAGATACTGTCCATTATTTTAGCTTGGTGGAACATTTGTTTGATATATGTCTTATCAATACTCGTTCGATCTGTAGCAAAAAGATAGATTTAGTCATGTTTGCGACTCTTTACCAGCCATCACTTATAGTGATGATAACTGAGGCATGGACCACCAGTGATATTTCTGATCTGTGTCTATCTGTTGAAAACTATGATATATATTTCGAAGCGATAGTTTGCAAGGACGAAGTGGAGAATGTCTCATATATGCCCACTCTAGCCTAAACTCACTCGTATATCATATGTCGGAACTAAGCAAACTAAAATATTCTGTGTGGATCGTTCTAAAACCCTCAAATGAATATTCCTTACTGTTCCACTGTGTTTACCGTTAGCCTAGCGCACCAACATGGGATCTAGCAATATTGTCAGAAGTATTCACGTTTGCTTTATCCCTACCCTTAAAACGCAAGGCTATTTGTGTTTACTTCAACATACCTGAAATCTTTTGGTTGTCAGACAAAGCACTTAAACTATTGAAATCAATTATTGAATGCTTAGAGCTTGCAGAGTGGACTCAACATGTTGACAGCACAACCAGACATCATAATACATTCGATTTAGTCGGCATCAGCAACGTCATTCCTAATACTGTATATGTTGGAAATAAGCTACCAGGTAGCGATTAATAATATCGTCATATACAGGCTTGATATAAAAACGACATTTACAAAACGTAACTCCGCTACACTTCGTAGGTTAGATTGATTGGGTAAACTTCTGAAATTGCCTAAGAATCATTGACTGAACTATATTCTTAACCGTAGACAATACTGACGAACAGACAAATGTATTTTATCACAACACCACAGGAAAACTGGAGACTCGAGTATGTCAGAATCAAACTCACAAAGACATCATTCTCAACTACAGTGGCAACAACCCAAGAACTCACAAATCAACTACGTACAAAATTTGTTCAAGACAGCGAAGACACACTGCAGCGTACACAAAGCACAAGAAAACGAAGAAATTTATCTGATGACTATCTTCCAAAAGAACGGCTATCCTCACACAAGTTCATCGAAAATCATCAACAGGAGCGGAATCAAGTACAGGAACCAACAAATGGATCATCCTACCCGATATAAAAGATATCGGAAATTACAGCACGAAGACTGAGACCATTTGGAATAGGCGTAGCACAAAAACTAACAGAATCACTTCAATCGGTCCTATGTAAACGAAAAAATGAAATGAAAAAGGAAGAAAAATCGAAAATCATCTACAAAATAAACTGCTCAGACTGTAAAAAACACTACATAGGATAAAGTAAACGTCCTTTTCAGCCATGACATTTCTTCCCTCATATCAACAAATACCCGGTGCATTTATTCTTTATGTTCTCTCAAATAATATTCTTCTGGATTCTTCAATCCCTCTAGTTTTGACTTTATAAACTTTTCTCATCAAATCATACTTCTTGAATAATATCTTCTAATCCTAACCTCTCCGATTTCTCCCAATACCTTTACTACCTCTTCTACTATTGGATTTGAATTGACAATTACATCTCTGTGCTGATGTAGTATGGCAACATGAACTGATGTACTTACGTACGAAGTTCTACGTTGCATCTGACTGACTGACTGATATAGTTATAATGGCTGGTGACTTCAATGCACAAGTAGGTAGACTAAGTGAAAATGAAAGACACCTAGGTGGATGTTACGGTCTCGCGGCTCAAAGAACAGACAATGGCGACCGTCTGTTGCAACTGTGCTCAGATAACCAACTATTTCTAGCAAACACTAATTTTAAGCATAAGGAAAAACACCTTTTGACCTGGCGACCCCCGAAGTCGTCTCAACGTTGGACACAACAAGATCATATCGCCATCAGCCACCGATGGAGGGGTTCGATAGAGGACTGTCGCTCGTTCTGGGGCACATGTTTAGATTCAGATCATGCCCTAGTGCAAGCACGTATTTGTTTGAGGCTTGCTGGACGTAGGAAAGACACCGTAAGGAAGCCTCTTAGGGCTTTACTTGATGATAATCAAGCTAAGAAAATATTTCAGGAGGAACTTGAAAAACAGTTAGGCGGCCATGCAAGTGATTCCCATCCAGAAGCAGGTTGGTATGATATCAAAAAGGCTGTGGAAACAGCAGTGATATCTGCTAGTAAGGTAAACCATAAGGCTAGGATGAAGCCGTGGACATCGGTTGCATCCACCGAACTGATGGATGCTCGAAAACGCATCCCACCTGACTCTGAGCATGATGAAGAGCGTAGTCAGCTTAGGCGCAGACTTATAAAAAGTCTGCGTAACGACCGCGAACAGTGGTGGGTGGCGAAAGCAAAAGCGATGGAAAAGGCAGCGGCGATAGGCAACACTAGACAACTTTTCCGACTTATCAAGGAAACTGGTATTAAGAACCCGAATGTGAGTGAGACTATCTCAGAAAATGACGGGACTATTATTTATTCTCAATCCAGGAGACTGGATCGATGGGTAGAACACTTTAGGGATCAGTTCAACTGGCCACGAGCCACTCTTCGGTTACCCACGATCTCCAGTCATCCTGAATGGCAAATCGATTTAAGTCCTCCCAGTTTACATGAAGTTGAGAAAGCTATAGGAAATCTAAGGAGAGGTAGAGCGGCAGGTCCTGATAGGCTTACCCCTGAGATGTTTAAGGATGGTGGTCCAGTTTTAACGGTTAAACTGACCGAGATCCTAGGTAGAATCTGGGAACTGGACGTAATCCCATCTGACTGGTCTCAATCACTAATTGTCCCAATCTATAAGAAAGGACAGAAGTCCTCTTGTGACAATCACAGGGGAATAAGTTTAACTAATATGGTTTCTAAATTGTTAGCCTCGATTATACTCAGACGTCTAACTAGAGCTCGCGAAGAGCAGACTCGAGAAAACCAGGCTGGTTTTCGACCTGGACGTGGTTGTATAGACCACATCTTCACACTACGACAGGTCCTGGAACAGAGACACACATTTAGACGTCCGACAATAGTCGTGTTCCTGGACCTTAAGGCGGCATTCGACTCAGTGGATCGTGAGGTTCTGTGGTAGTGTCTGTCATTGAAAGGTGTACCAAAGAAGTACATTAACCTTATACAAGCACTCTACTCGAACACCACTGGTCAGTCAGTCAGTCAAATGCAACGTAGAACTTTGTACATAAGTACATCAGTTCATGTTGCCATACCACATCAGCACAGAGCAGTAATCGTCAATTCAAATCCAATTGTAGAAGAGGTAGTAAGTCACCACTGGTCGGGTGAGAGCATATGGCGAACTGTCATCTGAATTCTCTACATCAAGTGGTGTCCGTCAGGGCTGTCCACTCTCTCCATTCTTGTTCAACTTTGTCGTAGACATCCTCTTAGAGTTAACATTTAGCTCGTCATATTTTTCAGGAGTTGACCTTCTACCAGGAAAGTCGCTTACTGATCTAGTATATGCCGATGACATAGTTCTATTCGGTGAAGACGCTGACAAAATGCAGTCTTCTGACTACCATAAGCAACAATGCGAGCATGTTCGGGATGCGGTTTTCCCCCTCGAAATGCAAAATGTTGCTTCAAGACTGGGTTGCTTCGGCACCTGAACTAGTGATAGGGAGTGAAGTAGTCGAGCGTATTGATCACTTCACTTATCTGGGCAGTCTCATCAGTGCTGACGGTCTGGTGACTGACGAAATCTCAGCTCGGATACAGAAAGCTCGATTGGCTTTTGCCAACCTGCGTCACTTATGGCGTAGGCGTGATATCCGTTCGCTAACCAAAGGGCGGGTGTACTGCGCAGTGGTTCGCTCCGTCTTACTTTATGGCTGTGAAACATGGCCGTTAAGAGTAGATGTTCGTAGGTTACTAGTATTCGATCATAGATGTTTAAGAAGCATTGCTCGTATATCGTGGGACAGCCGAGTAAGCAATGCTGTCGTTAGGAAACGAGTACTAGGTAAGGATGGCAGATCAATCGATGAAGTGGTGAAACTTCATCAGTTGAGGTGGTTGGGACATGTGTTACGTATGCCTAACCACCGACTGCCTCGACAAGCTATGTTTTGTGGTGTAGGAGTAGGTTGGAAGAAAGCTAGGGGCGGCCAGACCGAAACATGGCAGAAATCCATGAAGTCACTGACAAGTGGACTGAGTCATGTTGGTAGATGTAGACTACCTGGTTGGGGTCCGCGAGACGAAAGTCATCAATGGTTAGAGACCTTGAACGATATGGCTCAAAATCATTTGCAATGGCGCAAGTGCATCCATTCGTTGATCTCTCTCAAATCCTAATCTTCTGGATTAGCCAGCATCTCTACCTTTGTCTTTCTAACCTTATCTCACCGAATTATATTTTTTGAATAATATCTTAAACCCTAGTCTTCTTTATTATAACATTAATACCTCTACCATCTTTATCACTATGGGATTTGATTTGACATTTGCGTCTCTGTGCTAATAATGTGGTATGGCAACATGAACTTATGTACATACGTACGAAGTTCTACGTTGCAACTGACTGACTGACTGACTGACTGACTGATGAAGTTTTACTACATTACCACCTGACTGACTGACTGTCTGCCAGTTCAGAAATAATTCTGTCATTGAATTTGGTCAGTAACTTTTGATATAGTCATAATATTTACTGGATAATTTTTCAATAGTTTAAAATTTTACCAACTAATCGTCCCCATTTTATTCGTAATGCGCAACTTTCTAGCTGTTCACTATTTTATGTGATAAGGTAATCAGCAAGAAATGGAATTTTGAAGTCAAATAGTGTAAATTTTAGCGATTGTGAAAGAAAGCAGGTTATTGGCACGTTACACTGTTTATTGAATATGACAAATGTTATCAGAATCTTATATATAGTCGTTGGGTTATCAATCCTCGAATCGGCACTGTAACCCAGTTTCCAACTATGACTCATCATATTCTATTTGTTAATAGCATACAAGTTGTTTCTAGATTAAGGATAAACTTGGTAAACCGAAATAGCCTTTTGCAGTACAGGGTTGCAACACTAGACAGCTATTTAGAACATGTGATAGGGAGTGAAGTAGTCGAGTGTGTTGATCACTTCACTTATCTGGGGAGTCTCATCAGCGCTAATAGCCTGGTGACTGAAGAAATCTCAGCGCGGATACAGAAAGCTCGATTTGCTTTTGCCAATTTACGCCGTAGGCTACGTGGTTGAGGTCCGCGAGACGAAAGTCACCAATGGAGAGAGAGACCTTGAATGACATGGCTCAAAATCATTTGCGATGGTGCATGTGCATTTACCCTTTGTGTTTATCTCTAATTCTAACCTTCTGAATTACTCATAATCTCTCTCTTTCTCCTTCTAAATTTATCTCACTGAATTATACTTCTCGAATCATATCTTCCCTCTCTAATCTTCTCCATTGCTGCTAATAATTCTACTATAGCTATCACTCTTGAATTTGAACTGACAGTTACATCTCTGTGCTAATGTGTGATATGGCAACCTGTACGAAGTTCTACGTTGCAACTAATTGATTTAGAACATACTACATTGTAAAATGATACTTACAAATTCAACAATAAAGTGAAAATTTACTTTTGACATACTTACTTCATCTGTATTATACATACCCAAACCTATTCCACCTCCATTGAATTCAAATAATTTCATACGTTTTTCCAATCCTGACGATTTCGGTGTAAATACAAGTTCTAAAACGCCTTGTTCTTTAATAACCATATCTACAGCTTTGTACTTGTGTAAATAAAAATTAAAATTTATGTATTATTAATTATATAATACTCATTCTAGAAAATAAGTAGTGCGATGAAAAACTTGAAAAATAAGTAAAATTAACTACTACTAACCTTCGGACAGGTGAGAATAAGACAAATAAGTGAAAGGGAAAAAAAGTATAAGATATGATATATTTGGACGAAAAGTCACACTCTATACATAACACAGCATGATATCCGCTATAAGATAGTGGTGCATGGCTAAGCAATGTAACTAACTGATTGTTCGTGTACATCTCAACTGTTTCAAATATGGTGAAAGTAAACATAAGCAAGATACATCTTTCGTGAATGTATCAAAATTTTGTGGACAACCGTCAAAGAGCAATGACCCATTGTCAAAATCTGTATTCCTCACAGAGAGCGAGCGTTTTAAGAAGACAGTGATTTTTTATATTCGTAGTGAATCGCACACGCAACAACAAATGCAAGAGAAGATAACCAGTGTAGCAGCAGCCTCTGCAGCAGCAGGTCTCAACATACATAAAGGGAAAAGTAAGACTCTACGATTCTCTGGAGGACGTTGACACCTTTACATATCTGGGCAGCATCATCGACAATCAAGGTGGATCCGATGCAGATGTGAGGGCGTGGATAGGCAAAGCAAGGGCTGCATTTTTACAATTCAAAAATATCTGGAACTCCAAACAAATATCAATCAACACCAAAATCAGGATTTTCAATACAAATGTCAAGACAGTTCTACTGTATGGAGCGGAAACTTGGAGAACTACCAAAGCCATCATCCAGAAGATTAACAGTTGTCTACACAAAATACTTCGGATTCGTTGGCCAGACACCATCAGCAACAACGTACTGTGGGAGAGAACAAACCAGATTCCAGTGGAGGAGGAAATGAGGAAGAAGCGGTGGAAGTGGATAGGATACACACTGCGTCACAAGACAAGCCCTCACATGGAACCCTCAGGGTAAAAGGAAAAGAGGAAAGCCAAGGAACACATTACGCCGAGAAATAGAGAAAGATATGAGAAGAATGAACAAATACAGGAAAGGGCCAGAAAAGGATACCCAGGACAGAGTTAGTTAGAGAAAAATGGTGGGCGGCCTATGCTCCATTGGGGGTAACAGGTGTAAGTAAGTAAGTCAATTATCTTTTCTTTTGTGCATTTATTTCATGGAAAGCATCCTTGGCCTACTTTAACTTGAATTACTCTGGTTAAAGGTTTGAATTTTGTTGTTGTTCAAAGTCTGATTTCCATTGGCTGTGTTTTGTTGTTCAAGTCAGACAGTACTGATTCAGAAGGCAATGGGTCTTCTGGCGTTAACCAGTAAGGAAGTTAATGGTAGTTGCACCGGTGACTCGAGCATTGACAGTGAATGTGCTTATGTAGTTGGTTCAGTTACAGGAGGAGCCAAACACCCTGTTAACAAGGCACATATGGAATAAAAATTTCCTTTGAAACAGAGTGACATATCACTCCCACAAACATCTCACGTTGGGTAAGTTTTTGGTAGGCTCTTATCCTAAATCACAGAAAACTCCATAAAAGTTAAAAATCACAAAAATACTCAACCATAGCTTTTCCGGAAAAAGCTCGATTTTGTCGAATGTGAATGAGTAATTTGCTAGTCAGACGATAAGAATAGGCAAGACTGAAGAAATTGTTGAACCCCGACTGTGTAGAAAGTAATCCTCATGAACCCGAGGACAGTGCCCGTCTAAATGTTCCCCCCTATTATCTAACAGCGATCATGCTGTTTTGTCACTCATGTTTAAGGATTGTAACATAGTATATGATCGGGTTCAACCTCGCCCCAATTTGTGGACAGAAAATATGAGAGCCAAACATAAGTGTGGGAAAAAAGGACTGGCAGTAAATACTAGTTTACTAATTGAAGAAGCTTCGTTATGTCCCCATTAATACCGTGTTTAGTACCACATAGGCCAAATAACTGCCCACCATGGATAACGAGAGATCAAGAAACTTCTTAGGCGCAGAAATAGGCATTGAACCATCTTGTTCTCTACATGCTTTGAACAGGGAAGATCCACTTATTGTAAGACTAGGAACGCATGCAAAGCATTGATAAGTTAGGTTAGACTGCCTTATGAAAAACAATTGGTCAGGGATTTTAAAAATAGTCCAAAAAGGTTGTTTCAATAACGGAGAGATGAAATCAGACAAGTGATAGGATCTCACTGCTTTTGATTCAATAAGATCCGTAAACATTAACAAGAAATGATGCTAAGAGAGTGAAGGCTCCATCAGAAAATTTTAGTAGTGTTTTCTATCGACGATGGTGAGCGATCAATCATGAATTACAATAATAGTAGATTGTCGATGGATCCTCTGGTTATTTAAAAAGCTGTATTACAATCACTTCGGTACCTGAAACCAGACAAGTCCAGTTGTGCTGACGATGTTCATCCTGGGATCATAAAGGCTTTGGCGAACGCAATGGCCAAACCTCTAGCACTGCTGTTTGACGTGTCTGGCAAGCAGTCTAAAATACCAAGATATTTGACAGATGCCATTATCGGCCTAGCTTATAAAGCGGAAAGTGGTGACTTAGGAATGATGATATAAATATTTGGACGCCTATAAAGTCTAATTCAGATAGGATAGTACTATAAAGAGATCTAAATCCGCAAGTTGGGTGAATATACCAAATGTAATCGGAAGTGAATCCTAGCAAAAGTGTAGGCATACATACAAATAGCTGTTGTGATTCATACAATTACACAATAAATGAGATAATGCTACCTAAACTAGTGGATTATAAAGATCTAGGAGCCATACTAAGCAATAACCCTAGGGATACCGAATTACATCTGTACCTGGTAAGTCATTTTATTTCTTGGATGAAGAAACTTTTAGGGTACTGTAACCGATGTTTGTGAGGACGCATTGAGAATATGGGTTTCCAGCATCGAGTATAAAGCGGATATATAAGGACGAGTTCAACAACGAGGGACTACAATCATTAATGGTCTCACTGACCTCTTATGCAGACTGAGACAGATAAACTAATTTGCGTTACCATTCCGTAGGTTATTAGGTGATTTAGTTCTTGCATTCGACGTCGGATAAGACAAGACTATAGTTTAAGGACAAGGTAATTAGATTACGATAGTGAGGCTTGGGTTTTGGTGCGAAACTCACTAATACATGTTAATTGGAAAACGAGTGAGACGAAGAGAGACAAAACACACTCAGAGGTAGGTTTTGTACTGTAATACACTCCTAATCATAGTGGCAGAAGTTTTCTATTGCATTTAACTCCCGGCTAGTAGTTATGTCATCGTTTATGTTTATTTAATACAAGTGAGTTACTTGATCCCCATGGGCATGGCGACCAATCACAATTGGTTTAGTCCATCCAGGAACAAGTCGAGGAACGTTTGGGCATAAAATCGGTTCACGGAAAACAGTACCACCAAGAATATTACGAATAGTTCCATTTGGAGACAACCACATCTTTTTCAAATTAAACTCTGAAAATTACTCATTACGCACAATTAACTAACCTTTCACGCGTTGCTCATCAGGAGTTATTGTTGCACACTTAATCCCAACATTATACTGTTTGATGGCAAGTGCTGCATCAATTGTTACTTGGTCATCGGTTCGGTCACGGTTGGGAAGTCCTAAATCGTAGTATTTACACTCAACATCTACGTAAGGAAATATAAGCTGTTTTAGTCAGTAAATTTTTGTTCATTTACAGCTGATTTGATTTTATCCCAGATTATATGGGTCATTTCATCCCCATCTAAATCCACGACTGGATTTGCTACTTTGACTCGCGTATGATATAGACACCTGGCCACACCTTAGTGTAAGTGAGAAGAACTAAAGATGAGCTTACTTCTAGAACTGAATTTGAAATTTTTAGTCAAACACGTCAGGTAACCGAACCGACTGACCATTGCTCACAACCAAAACTTTTGAAAATTGGCCAACTGACCTTCGGTCTTCCGATATCCAATATCTTTTTCACGAGCTAATATAATGTTCATTGATGAATTCAAAGGTCGAGTCCAAGACACCATCAATAACACATAGTGGATTAATTAATCCTTTCAGTCTTATCCCAAGTTTTAGAATAGATAGCTGAGTTCAAACTATTTCACTGCATGTATTGGTGATATAGTGTGTAGTGGTATATTTTTACGAAGAAAACACAATTGCTGATATATAAATATTTGTTATTATACTTAATTCTGACAATAACTGTTATAGTGTACTACCACTGTTCGTCTGTACTAAAGTCCACCTCTCGAGCCCCAAGAGTGTTATTCCCTCTCCGCTCTTCTCTTAGCGGGTTGTTAGCCGCTTGTGAACCCTAACCTCGGCATTACTTTGATATCAATAAATATACTTCCTCATCTAGAATAGGCTTTCCTCCGACTTCTAGATTATTGGTATTTACAATGGTAATCCCGCGAAGGGATATATATTGATTTCGATTTATTGTAATTAGTTGGCCACAACTACGAATATGCATTAAATTCGGTGAGTCTGTCAGTGTTCTATTCGATTTTCTTACCATTTTATCTGCTGTGTAATATATGTCGATATATATATATATATATATATATATATATTACAACTGCAACAGCGTTAGAAAATGGTATACAAATCTATAAATGACGGTATTTTAGCTGACTCCCAAATACGGGTTCGCAGTTTTCGACCTGTCACGTTTATTCCACACGTCCCAGAGGTCCTGTTCGCTGCCCTGACATCTCGGTTCGGGATCCGCCGCATCACGAACCAGCGGCAAATGTTCGCCTATGTCCTGAATTTTTTACTTGGGGACCATATTGCCTACCGTATTACAGGGGTATTTCATTCACTTGATGACATTTTTCACGCTTTACTAGAAAAATTTACCCAGCTAACTAAACCACCCGAGGAGAATCTATCAGTGACCCACTATATTGTACACCACATCGCCACCCGCAGACCACTAGTCACGGCACGACCTCGCCGACTGACACCGGACAAATTAGCTTTCGCTGAACGTGAGTTTGACTGTTTACTAGCTATGGGTATTACTCGTCCTTCTCACAGTCCTTGGGCCTCACCACTCCACATGGTTCGCAAAAAGGATGGGACATGTTGGTGACTATGTGGGGACTACCGAGAATTAAATGTAGTAACACGTTTCGATAGCTATCCCGTCCCCCACAAACACGACATCAGGGCATCACTCAAGGGCATGACTATCTATGATAAGATTGATCTGGTAATAGCATATCATCAGATCCCAGTCGCTCTTGGAGATATCCAGAAAACTGCGATCACGACTCCTTTCCGTCTTTTTGAGTTCCTACGAAAGCCATTTGCAATACGGAATGCTGATCAAACTTTCCAAAGTTTATCGATAGCATAGTACGAGACTTTGCTTTTGTTCAAGTCTATATTGATGATCTGCTAATCACGTCATCAAAAGTAGATGAACATTATCAACATCTTACACTCTTATTCCAACTCCGTTCTGATAATGGAATAGTAGTTAACCCAGACAAGTGTGAACTGGGCAAAGCAGAAATAAAATCCCTGGGTCAGATCATTAAGCATGAGGGTATTCTATCTTGTGAAGATAAAGGACGTACAGTCATGGAGTACACTATACCATCCTCACTCAAGAATCTGTAGGCTTTTCTACGTTTGGTCAACTTCTACCGACGTTTTATTCCTCATGCGGCAGAACAATTACGACCATTAACCGACTTACTTCGCAGTAATCCATGTAAGTTATAATTGAACGATGCCGCGCGTACTGCATTTTTAGAGGTTAAAAAAGCTTAAGCTGAAGTCACACTTCTCGCCCATCCTGACCCATCAGCCACGCTCAGCATAGCGGTTGATTCACCGGATTTTGCTATAGGAGCCGTCATGCAACAAAACATCTCTGGAAGTTGGCAACCTCTAGAATTTTTCTCACGATGCCTTACTCCCACGGAGATGAGATTTAGCGCTTTTGGTCGCGAATCACTAGCCGCCTAATGTGCCATCAAACATTTCCGGCACTCACCAGAACGTCGTAACTTTATCCTCTTCACTGACCATGAGCCCCTAACGTATGCTTTGCATACCAAGCCTGACCGCTACTCATCACGAGAGTCTAGACATTTGGACTCTATATTTCAATTCACGACAGACCTCCATCATATGTTGCCGATGCTCTGTCACGTATTCAAGTGAATGCAGCTACCTTACCGGTGCTAGATCTTCCTGTGATGGCCGCTGCCCAAGCAGATGATCCCTCCTGTACAGAAGCACGACAATCTACATCCCTTCAGGGCTAGGAAGTACCACTAGCTAACACCTCAGGTACTACCCTGAGTGACAATTCTACTGGTCTTACTCCAAACCATTATACCCCCTGTTCATCGGCGTCTCGTCTTCCATGCCCTTCATGGACTGTATCATCCAGGTATCGCAGCTATATTACGTCTCCTCGCTGCACGATACGTCTAGCCTTCCATGAGTAAAAATGTCCGTATGTGGGTAGAGCAATGTTTACAATGTCAATAATCAAAAGTGCACAGGCACGTAGCTGCCCCCATTGGCACATTTGCTAGACCTGATACTCGCTTCCATCATGTTTAGATTGCGATTGTAGGACCATTGCCACCATCGCATGAGTATGATCACGTACGTGCATCGATCGGTTCACAAGATGGCCCAAAACTATTCTCATCACTTCTATTACAGCGGTGGAGTTACTGACCAGCAAAGATTGATGGTGTGGGCGATGACTTCAAACCACCCATGTTTGCGGGGCAGAACATTATGTTTGCGTTCGGCTCTTTATATTGATGAGACGACTGATCAGTAACGATGAGGTTGCTCTCATACGCTTGCTACTTCTGTGGTTCATGTTTCCAAAACTATGCTGAGGTCGTTATTCTGCCGAGACAGCCGCAACATTCTTACTCAGGCGCTTACAGTATGACTTAGAGGTTGGCATTCAATAATAATAATTAAAAAAACAGTTGAACAGTGAGAACTTTTAATCATCAATGTTTTCTTTTTACAAACTCTACTCTTTCGATTTCAACGTACTTAAATCCAGCTTCTTACTTCGACTTCTCTTCTATCCACCTGAAACTGCACAACTCTTCCTTCTTTTTTGCTGTACTCCTTCATCTGAGGGTTATATTCTTATATTCCCATAATTTACTTTAATTTAAGTTACTTACTTACTTTTACTTACGCCTGTTACACCCAATGGAGCATAGGCCGACCATCAGTTTTCTCCAACCAACTCTGTCTTCGGCTTCCCTCTCCAGTTCTGTCCAATGTTTGTTCATTCCTCTCATATCTTTCTCTATTTCTCGGCGTAATGTGTTCCTTCGCCTTCCTCTTTTCCTTTCGCCTTGAGGGTTCCATGTGAGGGCTTGTCTAGTGACGCAGTTGGCTGCTTTTCGTAGTGTATGTCCCATCCACTTCCACCGCTTCTTCGTGATTTCCTCCTCCACTGGAATCTGACTTGTTCTCTCCCACAGTTCGTTGTTGCTGATGGTGTCTGGCCAACGAATACGAAGTATTTTGCGTAGACAGCTGTTATTAAACACTTGTATCTTCTGGATGATGGCTTTGGTAGTTCTCCAAGTTCCAGCTCCATACAGTATAACTGTCTTGACATTTGTATTGAAAATCCTGATTTTGGTTTCGGTTGAAAGTTGTTTGGAGTTCCAGATATTTTTCAACTGTAGAAATGCAGCCCTTGCTTTGCCGATCCACGCCCTCACATCTGCATTGGATACACCTTTCTCGTCGACGATGCTGTCAAGATATGTAAAGTTGTTGACGTCCTCGAAAGCATCTCCATCAAGAGTGATTTGGTTGGTGCATGTTGTGTTGCATCGGAGAATTTTGCTATTTCCTTTATGTATGTTGAGACCTACTGCTGCAGAGGCTGCTGCTACACTGGTCGTTTTCTCTTGCATTTGTTGTTGAGTGTGCGATAGTTTAATTCAAGTGGTCAGTATGAATTTTTATCTTGACCTACTACTGTATTGACTACTTCAACATGACAGGTTAAGTAGTGCTTTGGTTATATATATATATGCTTTCTACACTGCTGCCTTTTCCTCTCTCTTTCTTTTCTCCCTTTCAGGACCCCATCCACGGTGGGGAATCCTTGGCGACTCTAGGGAGCATGCACCCTATGTACATGACTGTCTGGATCACAGCTCGTATCAAGCGCGTTCCATTTGACCTTTCCTAACAAATTCACTATTGATCTCGGCAAATCGCCAAAAGAACCTAATGTGCACCTTCCTTATTTGTACTCTACTATTGAAAATGTGGCTGTATTATTCTGTTTCTGTCAGTGACATGGTGTAAATATGCTTTCAGAAACTGACTCTTATACTTAATTTAACTGCGATAACTTTTACAGTAACTGTGAAAGCATTTGTGACAATTTGATCTAGCCTGTAAACTGGCGTGACTCTTGTAACGTAGTTATTTGAGAATAAATATATTATTATTATGTAGAATAGACTTTTCTCTTACTTCTAGATTATTGGGATTTACATTAGTAATCCCGCAAAGTTGTATGTTTATTACGTACTACTATAGGTGTATGTCCGGAAATGATCATTTGACATAGCTTCCTGGAACAGTTTAGTCCTAATTTTTCTGGCACAGGAATAGCGTAAAACCACGGTGATGCATCTACCAAATCGTAACTGACAACGAGATGAATAATGGAATGTTTGACTCTTGTTTGGTTATGTAGAGTTGTAATTAGCTTGAGCCAAAACGTTCGCGTTTGGATGTTGGGTCGTCTTTAATGGCAGAGTAGTTTCCGTGTGCTAGAGTAAGAAAGTACTGCAAGCGTAATACAAATAGGAGCATCAGCTCCAATGACTGCATTTTTTACATCTTAAAATAGATGTTTCTACAGATAACTGTGTTAAATGTGAGAGCCAGTGATTTGTGT